CAGAGACATATTATTCCCATGAAGCAATATGATCCACGGTGTACGTAGAATACTAATCAGCAGAGATTAGTGATATACACACACCTGTTTTGTGATTTGAGGTAAATTCAAGACATAGACCTAAATAGAGTTAATGCATTTAGTTACAAGTTATTTAGTCATTTATATTCCGTGTTCTTTGATTAATGTCAGTTAATTTCATCTCCTTTTCTATATAAATCCCTTATAAATGAAGCGCTCATCTGCTGACACTTTGCTGGTTTTTAAAAATGAGGCTGAGTCCATTCCTCACATATATCTCACCTCATTTACTGCTTTTCCCACCTTAAGACGTCCCCCAGGGACCTGCTTCCCCTCCTACAACATGTTTTAAAGAACATTTTATTAACATATCCAGTGTGACACACTTGGAGTAGATTGAGTTGCGGTCCTTATCCACTTTTCAATCCCTCCTCTATCCTCTCTGCTTCTTTCTCTCCCTGCTGCCATGATGAATTCCTTATTAGGCCTGTGGTTCATATTATCACTGCAGTAACAGCTCAGTGATCAGTAATTTATTTTTCAGGCCTCTGCATAGCAATTATCAAATGAAGGTTATTATCAGAACTTTGTGTTTGCCCTGTGTGAGTTCTGTGCAGAATACCAAGCTGAGATGAGATGTTCTGACACCGGAAACGAACCCGTTTCCCCATGTGCCTCTCTCAAACTCCTCTCTTTTAAGGGCAGTTTAATGTGGGTGTTTGGGCAGGAGATAGTAGCTGTATAACTGCATTTCTTTGTTGCTCCTTACTGGGTGACAGTGTTTTAGAGAGAAGTTGAGGGAACATCCATCTAATCTTGCTAAAACTAGCAAGACTTGGTCTGGTTTTGTGGCTTGACTTTCTCAGTGTGTCTCAGATCTTGTTCAGTCCAAATACCACCGACTCTCATGGCTCCTTTCTGAAATGGAAATTGATCTTTATGTAACATTTCTCTGTGCATCTATTTTTGCTTTCATTTTTGAATGCAGCCCGTCTGTTGGCTGCCATATATGATGGTGACATGGTGCTGTATTTATGCCATGTGGGTTAATATTTAATATGAAACCCTCTCGTTAGGAGACAGGAAACTTTTCCAAGCTGTTAGCGACAGCAAGCCAAATTAATCCGCTTTGTAACAAAGCAAATTCCCCCATTGCTGACCCCTACAGACACACACACACGCAGACACACACACCATACATACACACACATTGGTTACTAAGATGGAAACAGTCTTACAGCCTTAGACTAATCACAGTCTGTATTCAAAGGGATTAGAGGCAGATAGCCCTAGCTGGACAGTTCAGATTTGAGCCCTTAGACACACATACACAACAAGAGGATTAAGGTTTTAAAAAACATGCATTTGCTGAATAGAGCCCTTACAACCATAAAAACAAAACAAAAAAAACATATGGAGCTGAGAAAACATAATGGGCTGAAAGCTTACATTGGGGCGGAGGAGCTGGACTGTACTCTGTTTCTGCTAACTGCGTTCTTCTCTTCTTCCTGACAAAAGGTAATTTTCACCAAGAATTCAGGGAGTAAAAAGCCTCACATATAATTACTTGACATGAAAGAGCCAAAATCAGGTTTCCAGTTCTCCCTTTACCCAGCTTTTCACACAGCACAAAAGGCTTGAAGAATGGGTGAGAAGGCCCAGTGCTCAGGCAGGTCAGTAATCCAACACCGCTTAGTTTCTCGTTGAATTTAAAGGTTGAAGAGAGGGAGGTTTTCTTCAATACTGCCTGGAGCATCAGCTAACCTGAGGATAACCGGAGAGTCGAGTTCTGCTCACTATAAAAAGTCCCAGCAAAACCTAGATAATACCAGAAGTGATAGAGCTATAATCTGCAATCAGATTATATTCTTATATTTGCCTCACTTTGTGTTTTTAAAGAATCCAATCTTGATTAGAATTACTTTACAATCCTTTGGAGCTACTTTAAATGACCAGTGACCTCATGTGTCTACTAATGGTGCCTTTAAACAATTTATTAATATTATTGTTATAATAAATATCGCCTTCTTCTTCTTCTAAGTAGTAGCATATTTGGAAACAAAACTCAAGCAGGGCCATTGGCATGGTTATCTGGATGATTTAAGTAACTAAAGCAAAATTTATCTCCAGGATATAAATCAAACTTCGGATGGATAAACATGAAGGTGATGTAACGTCAATCTGTGCAGCACCACAAGATAGGACAGATGGACAGATGAATGGATGAATGTATAGGTTGTTTCATTAGAACATTAGTTTGGGAAACAACAGTATGAAATTTCAATTCTCAGGTAAATTTAAATTCTGACAGCCAGTTTATCTGAAATTAGGTGCATTAGTTCCTGTTAATCCCAACTCAGTGTCAGGTAAAGTTTTTTTTCATTGCTGACAATCCTTTTGGATGAAAAAAAAAACCTGTATCTCACTAACATATTGCTTTAATTTAATGTTTATAAAGTTTAAGTTTTTAAAGTTTTTTTTTCTTCCAACAGAAAGAATTTGCACTGCTGTGCTGAACTAAATGGACGCTCCTTATGTGGCTGTTATGCATAAAACTACTGCATTGTTCTGTCCAATGAAATGTCTAGAAAGACAAAAAGGAAGGACATCATTACATATGTGGGATACTTCAGCACAATCAATGGCTCTTGTTCTCCATGTCTGCATTAAAGCTGAGTTTTTTTTAATCATTGTGTGGGAAGTTTTGACCTTAACCTTTGCGAGATACAAACTTCTGACATGAGGAATCCAGCACAGCAAAGAGATCAACTGTGGTTACACATAGTTCTGTATGCCTGTGTTTCATCTCTCTATTATATCCCAGTCTTATGTAACTTTACACTCTTTTGTCCTCCTCTCTGTGCTTCAATCTGCAGGTGCTGATTTGTTTTCTAACTGCACAGAAGAGTGTAAGGCCCTGGGGCACTCTGATCGCTGCTGGATGCCCAGCTTTGTGCCATCTGATGGGCGCCAGGGTCTAGACTACCGCAGCAACCTCCATGTGCCCGGCATGGACTCAGTCCCAGATACAGAGGTATTTGAAAGCCAGGAGCAAATGACAGATAGGTCATTCTCCACATTTGGTAAAGCAACGCCTGTTCATCACCACCACTTTCTCCAAAACCATCAACTCAGCTCCCACCAAGGCTCTCTAGAGCGGGAAATGTTGGAAGTATTTCTGCCTAGCTCCAGAGCTCCTAATTACGCAGCTTATTTAAGTAAGTATTCTGTTTTTTAAAAAAGAGCCATTCTCTGATCTTGCAAGCAAAGAAAAAAGCTCAAATTGAGTTTTAGACTGATGATAGAAATTCATTTCAGATCTGGACCCTGTCCTCAGTGTTCAGCCAACTCTTGCTTTTTTCTCAAGTATTTGCTCTACGTTTGACTGTGATGATCAACTATTTATGTTCTTTGTCGCACAATCATGCAAATGATTGCTGCTGAGTGTGTAGATGCACACTCACTGTTGAAAATGTCTGTTTTTTTGCTATATAAAAATAATTTCCAACATTTCCCCTCTTTAATGTGACAGGTCTCACTAAAAAAACAATCAAATCTTTCATAAGAGAAAATTAAGAAAAGGATCTGCAGCAATTTGGTTGAACATTTTTGCAGTTTCATAAACTAATGCAGTATTTAAACACCACGGCAGCCTTTTTATATTAATTTACATCTGTACTTGATCCCACATTAGCATTCATTCTTCTTGGGTTCACATCAGCCAGAAATGATAGAAAATCTCACAGAACAGCAGTAAAGCTCAGCTGTACAGGTAGGACCTTCCTGACAGTTAATAATTTGCATCGTTTGCTAAATATTTGGTTTGCAAAGAGGTCAGAAAGGATCACAGAAAATCCCCAGAATTACATTTAATTCAACCCATAATTATTCATACCCTCAGTAAATGTATTTATTAACCACAAAGTTTATTTCTGCTTGGAAATGAGGCAATTCATGAGGGACATCGTTTTAGAACATGTATTATTTCCCTTACATTAAAACATGTACAATGTTATTTATAGCCCTTCTTAACAATGAATGGAAAAATATTTTTCGGCATTAGTTCAGTTCAAAACCCTTATAATTTGTATGCAGTTTTTGTGTTTTCTCTCAGGACCTCCTGGTGTTAGGTTGTTTTCTAGTTTTGATTCTAGTTTTATTATTATTTTGGTTAAATCTGCTTTATTCCTGTCTCTTTTATTTCAGTTCCTTCTTAGTGATTCTAATTAGGTTTATTTCTTGTGTCAAGTCCTTTTTCATTTGTTCTAGTTTGAATACTCTGTGTTCCTCAGTCTTTATTAGATCAGTCTGGTTTCTGTTTTATTTCTCTTCAGTTCTTTTTACTATATTATTTTATGTCCATTTCCTTTTCTATATTATTATATATAGTAATATATATTATTACTATAAATACTTATAATGATAAAGCAAAGAACCTTGCCATGGTTATTGCTTCATGTGGCGGCAGGCTTTTTATATTAATTTACATCTGTAGTATGGGTGGCGACCAGCAGCTGCGCTCTATTTCCAGCAAATTGGGATGTATACAGGAAAGGCGCGCAGGCATGCGCGTGAGCACGGCTTTGTACATCTGAAGTTTTTTGTACGCCGCACTTTTCTAAATTTGTCTGTACGCCAAGTGCTAGTGTGAAAACTGCACAATCTTTTTTATACATGAGGCCCAGGCCTTTTGTTCAGCTCACAGCCTCCCTTGTATTTAAGCTTCTCTTTCTCATTCAGTATTTGCCAGATCCTTTTGTTTACTCCAGTCACTTCCTTGTGCTGCCCTGTGTTCTCCTTGTGTCCCCCTTCCCGGTTTTCCTTCCATGGATTTTTGGTTTTTGTGTTTTTGCCATGACTCCCTTTGAGTTTTGTAAGTTTGTTTTTCCATATTCCTTATTAAATCGTCACTAGTCACCTCTGTCACCTCTGTCACCTGTATTTGGGACCTACAACAGCCATCTGCACATCAGGACATTTTCTCTACTGTTTTGCTTTTTCCATATTCTGGTGTCAAAAACAACGCAGCACAGCACATTACCAAAAGAAGCCCATTCTAACAGTGAAATAGTTGGTGGCAGCAGCATCATAATTTGGGCTTAATTTTCTTCAGATTGAAAAAACTTCTTATAGATAACATTAGATGGACAAAACTATCAAAGTTCTAAGAACCCCAAACCTTCAGATGAAGATGAAGATTGAGTTTATTTTTCAGGATCTCAATGAGTTGAAACATACATTTAAATTAACAAAATAATAAGTGTAAGAAGAAAATAAAAATAGAAATGAGACTTTGTTCAGAAAGAATAGCTAGGATGTAGGATGCAGATCAATTCCTATTGAAGAAGACTGAATGCTGACATAGAATCAAAAGGTGGTTAGCAAAGCATGTGTTTAAGGGAAATCAAACTTATGGAGCTTTGTTATTGTATTTTTATTTTTAAAATGTGTCTGTCTAAACCTAGTCAAGTGTCTGCCAGTCAGACGTTCCCCCAGCAATAGCCTGGTAAATGCCCAGGTCTGGATGGTCTCCCTTCTCAGTTTTTCAAATAATTCTCGAACTTACTCTGTGTTCAGCTTAGTTCCATCCTTACAGATTGCTTTGAACAAAGATTCCCCCCTCAGTCATTTTACACAGCCTGTATCAATCAATCAATCAATCAATCAATCAATCAATCAATCAATCAATCAATCAATCAATCAATCAA